TTGAGCTGCCTGTGTCCCATTTAGTCAATTTTTCTTTACTTTATGCTCTGAAAACACAATAACAATTCATAAGATATCTCTTGAAAGTGACAAACCATTGGAACACTGAAATAGGGTTCCCCATTGAAAGATTATTATTTTATTCTTGTTCCAGTTACATCTGGTGCATCCTTAATTTGCACAATAATTTTCTGTCCAGTGGGGACACAGAAAACAATATAAACCAAACAGAGATGTAATTACTTCCATACCCAAAAAAATGTATGCTTTTGATAAACATTAATACAATAAAACAATGCCATGTGACTGCAACACTCTAATTACTGTACATATACAGGTTTAGGTCCATAAATAAAGGATGATTCCCCCCCTTAAAATAGTAAAGTAATTTGTAAACCTTTGGTTAAAAGAAAAGTTTGAAAAGTTTTTTCACTAACACATCTATTAAAATTCAGGCTTCATGAAATTGCCATTTTAAAATGATGCCGTTGCTATGCTAAATTTTTGAAGAAGAGAGTAAATACTTACCTCTGCTGCTGCCCGTATCATGAGCTGCTGCTCCATTGCTGAGAAATAGAGCCCAAAGGCCACATGGAAGCTGACACTTCAAGAGTGATGATCTCATTAGTTACATGCAGCTTTCAGAAATTCCCCCCACTGACCTCCGTGTCTCTAGAGGAGACAGTAGAAAATGGAACCCGAAGACTTCGGAAGGCAATTACTCAGAATTGGAGAGGCATTTAGCAGTGTGGGCAACAGGAGAGGTAACTATTTACTTCTGACTTTTATAATATACTGTATAGTATAGCATAGTTTAATTTGGGAAGTTTACTATAGCAGCAAGGTCACTTTTAAAATACATTGACAGCCATTATCAGGAAAAATTAAAATTACTGACAAGTGATTTGGCGTGACAGTTTTTGCGCACCTTTGCCTTGCTCATGTATCCCCCATTTCTCATATACATATCTTACCTGTGCTTCCTCTGTGTCAGTGACCAAGGGGAGCAGTGGCATTTTCCATGGTCATATGACAATAGTTTTACAAGCTGTTTACAAGCTCCCACTATACCTAGAAGTGCCGGGTATTCTTGCCAACTGCAGAGGAGCAAAGAGAATCCAGGGAGCACAGGTATAGTGAGCATAAGGAGTTAGTGGATGACCTTTTCAGAAACACTGTCATATTGCTCTGCATAGGCAAGGTGACATTGTCTCTTTAACACACCATTCTTTTTTGCATGTTTCAGTACAACATGTAGTACTCTGCAACAAAGTTGGCTAAAATCTTTGCAAATGTATTTAACCACTTCAAGTCCAGACACTTTCACCTCCTTCCTGTCCAGGCCAATTTTCAGCTTTCAGTGCTATCACACTTTGAATAAAAAACATTTTGAAAAAAAAGTGTTTTTCTTATAAAATTTTGCAAAAAATAATCTTTCTTCATAAATCTTGGCCAACACGTATTCAGCTATCTTTTTAGTAAAATAAAAAAAAAATAACCCAAATTAGTTTATAACCAAAAATTATAATTTAAAAAATTTGTTTTACATTTTTATTTTATTTTTTTTATATTATCATTTATGTTTTTTTTAAACATACTGTCACCCTAGCAGTACAGTGTCACCATAGTGACAGTGTACTACTTGTGGGGAGTGATGAAGATTTTTTTTTTTACACCCATAAAGGCTGTAAAAGCAATAATTTCTCCTTCTCTATGGCTGCATTCTTGCAGCCATTGAGAAATACTGTGAGAGCTGTGATTGGTCACAGCTTGTCACATGGTACAAGGCTGTTGTGAATAGCCTTGTACCATGTGACCTCTGTGATCATTCACAGATTTCACTAGTAGTAAGCAATGATGTCAGAAGTGACAACTTGCTTACTACTATTCATGTGATCACTGACTGGCCAATCAGTGATCACATGATGGGGACCTCACACAGAGGTCCCGTACAGTGATCGGTGTTCCGGAGGACACAGCAGGCACCGGATTGCGGTGCCGCGCGCTCCCAGGGAGCGTGCACAGGCAGATAATGTGGGAGGACGTTTATAAACGGCTACCCGCTCCTGCACTGCTCCTGTCTGGCTGAACATGAGCCAAACAGGAAGTGGTTAATTAACTGTGCAAGCATTTTTTTTCAGCAATAGCAAAGTTAAAATTGCACTGCTAGAGTTTGGAAATAGTTCCCAATACAATTTACAGGTTGAAATCTATACTTTTTTTTTCAAATATGAAGGTTGCAGGACTTTAGGGTTTGTCTTCAGGTAAAAACATGCCCAACCCTTTGTCAAGGAATGAACTTACACATTCTCAGTGTTAAAAAGTGCTAAGGTTACTAATTCTTATGGAACATTCTCAATGTGAAGTTTTCTCGTCTACTTATCTTCCATACTGTAAATATCTAACATTACAGCTACACATTTTTTCAAGTGTATATGTAATAGGTTTGTTGCTCTTCCACTATTTTTTGTAGCCTAATCACCACCATGAAAGATACCAAAAAATAAAGGACATCTATGTTTCCAGCACCCCCCCCTTTTTAAAGTTTCAAGTTTCCAGTGAGAAACTAGTAAATTAGGAACTGAAAGGCAGCGTTCAGTCAAAACCAAAAATGAAACCTTCAATAGCATACAGATAACATAGTTTGCCTCCTTTAGAGAACATCATACTGCTGTGGGCACATGTTTGCCATTTCCCAACATTTTAAATACTTCAGATTCGCAGTAAACTTTCTAGCAGGGAATGCCAGTTATATACTGTTATATAACACAAAGTTGCAATGTACCCTGCTTATGTTTATTTAACTATAGAAAGAGCAGTTACTAATGCACTGTCATGTTTTCTCATGAGAAGTTAGATTTTAATTATTTTAACTAAATTCAGAGATAAAAGTTCACCATGGCACATTAAAAAGGCCTTTCTTTAATGCAAATGATTTATTAAAAGTCTAAAGTATGTTCTCCTAGTACAGCGAATGTTCATTTATAAAAGTGAATGTTCACTGAACTTAGTAAAATTGTGAATCGCATGCAAAGCAAACTAAAATAACAGAATTGTTTTTCTTGAACTTGATTGACATGAACAGGGCTGCATCTTACTAAACTTAGTGAAATTAAAGTGTAACAAAAGGCAAAAACTATTTTTTTTCTTAGTTTTGGACAAAGTAGAAGGATTAGGACACATGTTATTGTTTATTGCTATCTGTACCCTTGTTAGGGAGATTGACCCTCTCTATTTGTCACGTTTGCTGTTATCACAGAAAGTGAACATTAAAGAAAATCCCAAATTTTGGGTTGTCATTGGAACAGTAACAGACAGGAAACCTTCCAATTGGGACAATAGTTCTGGTGACCCTGGTGTGACAACCAGGGATTCTGTAACTTTGTAGGAATTTCCTCTCATTTCCTATTTTGGCTTTGGCACAGGAAGTGAAGGGAAATCTCCCCAATGAGACACAGATGGAAAAAGAAAATCTGATTGGTGTTACTCTATTTAAAATGAAAAAAAAAAGTTTGTAAAAAGTTTTATTTCCACTTGCTCAGCTTGTTCATTTGCTAAATGAACATTCTATGCTCCTGTAATAAATTCACCTTAATAACTTTTTTTGCATAATGTTATGTTGTGCAGTTATAGTTAGCAACAAATCAGAAATCATCATTGATTGATTTGAATTATCCAAAGTATGAGAAGCAGATTTCTGATTTCTTCATAGATTGTAATGAGGTTGCTTTGATAAAGGAGTAGAGGTTCTTCACCTAAAACATTGAATGCTCACTTTGCACAGTGAATAGTAGTTAATATGATAAAGCTGTGTTTACTTTGAATACCCAATCATGCACTAGAAACAATGCTGATTTTATTTCATTATTCCTGGTGCCTGATTAGATATTAAATGCAAACCAGTTTAAACCTTTTTAATGACATTACCTTTGCAAAATGAACATATGCTTTACTAGCTAAGCAGTCTTTTATCCTTACGTAAACACCATGTATCAATGCTCTTTTGATTACTAAATAAGCCTTGACCAACAAAGAGTTAAATCATACAGTAATCCACAGAAACTATTTAAAATTGACTCTGCTGAAGCCACATCAATACAAAATATGTTCTGATTGGTTTATATGGGTAACTGAGCCTAAGAATTAGCATACAGGTATAAGAACACTTCATTAATAAGGGCGAATAATGAAGGCCCAAGTCAAGACCTCTAGCAATCAGTGAGTATCTATCATGTATTGGACCTACTCCATCAAGACAAATTCTGATTTCTTGCAATATGTAATTACCCCTCCTTATTATTGAATAAGGCAAAGTTGATTACCCTTTAATTAACCCCTTTCTTACAGAGTCTTAACCGCAGTATTGATGTTCTCCATCATGATGTCTGATGCATTAATAAATATGCCCAGTATGAGGCAGCAGTTGAATCCTTGTGCAGCTGCTGGCACTCAATCTCGACTGGTATTAACAGCCATGGTCTCCAGTGATGATCAGGAACCATCAGAGTGGTTCCTGATCATGTGATCAATTGCCAGATCTGACATAGTGATCACACACAGGTTGGACTAGCTCCATTGAGAGAAATGCAATCCTTCAGCCTGCTGATGAACACTGCCATCTATCTACAGTGCCATCCATTTAATAGTTCAAAAAAAATGAAGAAAAAAAAAGGTAGGGTTACAAGCCTTCTCACTATCCTCTACACACAGCAAATACCTTCAATTCTGATAGTACAGAGAATTAGAAGTAGAGCTCTGCTTTAAGGTGTTTTAATGCCTTTTCTTATAGTTGGGGAGAATGCATCATTTTAGTTCCAAACATCATCACTAAAACAAAGATATGTATTGGAAACAATTATCACTCTTGTCTGTACATTTCCTCTCTGCTCTTTTTATATCTAACATTTACAGAAATCTGTTTTCAGTTGGTGAAAATAAAACAGGGTTATAAAGAGTTGCATCATATAGGAAGTAAAGGTAGGAAATTGGATGTTACAAACCTCTAGGGAGCTCATAGATATTGTTGAACCTGTTTCACTCCTTGATAATCCTGCACTGTCATCCAGCTCTGAGGCTATGAAGTTCTTTACTGCTGTGCGAGGTTCAAAAGGAAGGCTCTGCATGTGTTCTTGAGACACAAGATGCGGATCTAAATTTAAACCAAATTGTTCCATTACTGCTGGATTCATGCTAAATTCTGGATTGACTTTGTAGTGTAATAGTCTCTCATGAGGCAAAGTATCCATAGCTATGTTCATTTTATTTTCATCTTTCATTTGAGTTTGCATGTTCCCAGAGCCTCTTGGCATTACAATATAGTCACTCTCTATCATTCGCTCCTGGGGTAGGACCATATCTGTGTCTCCCATTCTGAGGTTGTCATCTGTGCATAAGTACACAGTTCGTCTTAATTCGCTATTCTCTTTTTTCAGACACTGATCAGCCATCTCGCCCATACTCATGGGCATGTGCAAAGCAGATGGTTGCTGAATAATAACTTTAGAAATGATGTTTCCAGGCAAGGTAGAGTAGCTCATTCCTTCTGTGTTCACTGTCTTTTCCTCCTCTTCGTCATTTAGAGAAATCCTGGAGAGAGTTCCCGTTATTGTAGCAGCTCTGCAGGGGCCAATGTCCTTGTGTAAAACTGCAAATTGAAAAGTGTTACATTTCCATTATAAACATGCCGGTATTATCTGTAGCATAAAAAACTGTTATAACTATAATATTTTGCATTAAAATACCCTGATTGGAAAGCTGCTTTTACGCTCTTTATTAGCATACACTGCAGCTTAGTTTGATCACATTTGACATGTAATCTTCTGTTCATAATTGACTTGTCTGCACTGTTTATTCAGAGGAAACACTTCATTGTTTATACTTGTGTCTTTCAGATGGTTCCTGGAAGTTCAGCTTTAGGTGAGCTACATAATATCTATACTATGGACTCAATACAATATGCATTAATAAAATTAATTTATTAAACATTGAAGCATATATATGAATCTGATTACATTTCCAGGGTAGCATCCACTGCTGTTACTTGGAGTTGTTATTCTGCTTTGACATTATACTTTCAAGGACACAAGCACAGTGAATAAAATATGGACAGTTTTAATATTCTAGGGCAGCAGGTGAGGAAGAAAGATGCCTACAAATCTGATGGCATAAAATAAGGTCTATTGATGTGAAGGCTGAGAAGCAATCATTTGGTGGGGGCTACTGTTACTGTCACATCACACTTCAGCAACACATACTGGCATGTTCAACGTTCCTATGACATCTCACTTTCTACAAGTCTAATATTTGTATTACTATGCCTCTTTAATAGGATACTTTCAGAATTCAGATTGAACTGCATATAAAGCAAAGATTTCTTGAAGCAGGGGTAGCAGTTTTCCAAGGAAACAAATGACGAATGTTCTCTAGAGGAAAAAACCTAGAATATATTTAAATTGACAATGGATAACAGGAATAGTTTACCTTAGAATTTTCAGATTATTGTATTATAATACAATTCAAGCTGTATTTAAAAAAATGCTAAATGTGGTTTAATATACAATACATGTGTACAGTGGGTGTCTGCATACAAAACTGTAAATAATATGATATATTTGGTGTGGGCATAGAAAATAGTCATACAGCCAATTATACCACCAAGCCAATGGGTATATTACCTTTATATCAGTATCTGCAAGCTATATTAAAGTATATTATTATTATTATTATACAGGATTTATATAGCACCAACAGTGTGCGCAGCTTTTTGTAATACAAAGGGAGACAGTATAGTTACAATACAATAAAAACAAGAGGATTAAGAGGGCCCTGCTCATAAAAGCTTACAATCTAATAGGGTGGGGCAAGTGGCACAAAGGGTTATAACTGTGGGGGATGAGTTGATGGAAGAGTAGGGGATAATCGGGCAGACAGAGGACCAGGGTAGAAAATTATAAGCTCAGTTTTAGAGAGATTTAGTTTAAGGTAGTGATGCACATCCATGCTGATATGTCAGTTAGTAAGTTAGTAATGTGAGAGGAAACTGAAGGAGTGAGGTGAGAATTAGAGAGATATAGATTTGGATGTCAGCGGCATATAGGTGGTATGGTGGAAGGTTATCAGATGACCAAGAGAGGAGGTGTCGATTGAAAAGGGAAGGGGTCCAAGAACAAAGCATTGAAGGATCCCTATAGAAAGAGGAAGTGGAGAGGAGGAGACAGAGTTATAGGTAACACTGAAGGAGTGCTGTGATAGGTAGGAGAAGAACCAGGAAAAAGCTGACTCTCAGAGACCAAAGCAGTGGAGTTTACTGAGCAGGAGTAGGTGGTCAACAGTATCAAAGGCTGCAGAGAGATCTAGTAGTAAGAGTATGGAGTAGTGGCTATTGGTTTTAGCAGTTAGTAAATCGTTAGTGAGTTTTAATAGGGTAGATTCTGTGGAGTGATGTAAGTGAAAGCCAGACTGTAAGGGATCAAGAAGGTTGTTTTCAGTCAGGTAGGAGCTAAGATGGTTGTAGACAGGGGCGAACTGACCATTTGGAAACTCGGGCACTGCCTGAGGGCCCGGGGTCAGTAGGGGGCCCTTTGAGATGCCCCTGGTACCTTTTTCATAGGCTTTTTTGAGTTTGGGCAAGGACACAGGGGCCCCATGATCCCCTATTGCCCGGGGGCCCCATGAGTTGTCAGTCCGCCCCTGGTTGTAGATTAAGTGTTCTTAGAGGTGAACAGGAGCAGGGAGATGGGTCTTAAGTTCAGGTTGATAGGGTTCAATGAGGGCTTTTATGTATGTGAGTGATCTGTGCACGATTTATGGGGAGGGGAACATGCCAGTATATAGGTAGAGATTGAAGATGTGAGTGAGAGAGCATAGGATAAAAGAAAAGGGTGACCATAGTAGTTGTAAAGGAACAGGATCCAGGGCACATTTGGTCAGGTGGGCATCTGAGAAATGTTTGGTAACCTCTTCAGTAGTAGCCAGTTGAAAAGCGGAAAGTGTTAACTGTGCTGTTAAACAACGTATGTTAAGTGGGGAAGATATTTGTATAGTGGATGTGCCCTCACATATTGCATCAATCTTGTCTTTGAAGTGATTGGCAATCTCTTGGGCAGTGAGTGGGTTAGTGGGTAAAGGGGGTGGGGGACAAAGCAGAGAGTTAAATGTAGTGAAAAGCTAAGGAGGATTTGATGACAAGGTATTATTAAGAAAGACGGAGTAGGTTTCATTGGCAGAGGTTGTGATCAGAGAGGTGAAAGAAACTGTAGGTGAGGTTGCCAGGAGTGCAGAGATGGGAGAATACAAGGTCAAGGATATTACCTTTGGAGTGAGTGGAAGTGTGTGTATAAAAAGTGTACTAAAATGCAGTTTGCCCAGTACTCTCTGATGTGGAACACATGGGCCATATTCAGGTACAGAATTAGTGGGGGAATTATTGCATGCGTATTAACATTTGAAATAGACTGCCATCGCACCATAATGGATCAATTAAAGCACCTGCACTTTTTTCAACACACCGCAATGCACAGATAGTTGACACCTGCATGCTGAAGTGTGCTAAAATTCAGGTTCATTTAGGTGCTCTGGGATTTGAATTGGGATGTTGTGCTGTGGTAAAATGCACAACTCATCCATTGTGTTGCACTAAACGATACCTTTAGTAAATCAACCCATATATGTGAACCTTACAGTAAATGTCCTTTTGTAAGGCAACATTCCTAACATACTGTGTGAAAAGATAATTCATAGCTTCCCTTATTATTGCAAACCTTCCTGGAGCTCCCCCCCACCTGTGCTCCATTTCTACATGCTCACCATCTTATTCTTCCTTTCTTCTGTGTCTATCAGACTGATTCTTTTATGTTTGTTTTTCCTGATTTTATTTTTTTCAATTTCCTTTAAAATGCAAGACTAATTCATCAAAACAAAAACGCTGATGAATAGTTTCATATATTATTGGTAATCTGAAGGGTCTCAACAATGCAACAGTAATAGCAGAAAAAAACACACCAAAATCTCTTCACACGTCTAAACACATTGTAAGGCAATAGAGCATTTATGGTTTCTGATTTTTAGGGAAGAAAATGGTGGAGTTGGTCTTTAGGAAATGTTATTAAATATACCACTGCACAGTAGATAATCATGCTTGTTCCTAAACGTGAACACTTTATGTAGGATATTTACTGAGAAAGACATCTGCCTCTAATTTACTGGTGGATGCTAATAGTGATGATGGAAGTAATGGAAATCATGGGGCTGATTTAGCTTAGTTAGGTTAAAGTGTAACTATGGGCAAAATGAAAAGAAAAAATACATATATCATGCAGTCTGTCACTAGCAACCCAACATTTTCTTGAGTCCCCAGGTAACATAGATTTCGCACCTGTTAACTCTGTTAGTAGATTCATTATTTTTTCTACTTCCTGCAACAAGTGTGACAACACTATTTGTTTTGTTTTGCTGCGAAAAGTAGGATTGTTAATCTGTGGACAGTGTAATCTTAGAGGGTCCTGTAGTTTTAAATGGACTTTAGGAAAGCTAAAAACAGCAAAGCCTAACTCCAGGCAACAATTTACAGGCACGTTAACTAGTATTTTTTGTCTTGTTAAAAAAGAAAAAAAAAAAAAAAAAAAGGATTTAAATAATGTGAGTAAAAGCAAACCTTTTAACACCCCCTTCTCCTTAATAGTAAATGGGGTGCCTCAACCCTTCTCGCTACAACTTTTGCTGGCCAGCTTGGTCTGTTACAGGAAACAGAAAAAGTACACATCCACTGGCAGGATCAACAGGTAATAAAACTGTATTGCAGGGGGAACGCTAGTGACATACTGCTTCCTTTATGTTTTTTTCATAGTTACACTTTTTATTAACAAAGGTAAGTTGTGCTTAAATCTAATGCAGATTTATGAGCAGTGAAATAAAAAATGAATCATCCCTTGCACATGATTAGACCATTGAAGCGAGCAGATTTCCACTTTATTCACTAAGCTAAGTGAACATCCTATACTTCCTCAGTAAACCGTCTGCAATGTGTTTTTATTACATAATAGTAAATCACAGAAAAGTATCCAGTATGTGCTTTGTAATAATACTGCACTATGTACAGAACTGAATTAAAGATATTTAGCTTGTACTTAAGTATCGTGTTGTGTTGCCTAAAGGCTACCATGTTTTCCTTTGTTTAAAGGACAACCTGAAACCAAATGCCAATTCACATTCTCCGTCTGCATTTTTCATTTGCTTTTTGCAAAAGCATTATTCCCAACTTAGATACATGTCATATTTGTTTGTTCACTGAAGTGAAAAAATATTCCTGTTCAAGCAAAAATAATTATTCCCTCGAGCAATGTGCTTTGTAAGTTCTGCTGGGCACTCAGTTCTATTCCTAGTTGTCTTTAAATAGGTGATCTTCTTCTGTTGCCAGCAAATGAAATACTTGTGATTTGACTTTTCAACAGAGAGCAAACATTTCTGTGACAATGACTATATTTTATGTGGGGATGGAGGTTGTGAATATTTCAAATGGCTAGGTATGTATGATTGCAAATCAAGAAACATTCCAAACCCAAGCATACTGCAGTGATGTTTCCAACAGGCAGACTATCCATAATCCAGTAAATTCTGAAATTCATTGCTGCAGTATACTAAGTTACA